ACTCTGGATGAGATTAATAGGGCTATCTCAACAATGCCAGATAGAGTAGCTGCCCTAAATGAGCGAAATGGGCGCCCTATCCCCTACTAAATGGCTGTGTAGATAGCACGAATCTGAGAACTGCCATAAATTTCTGCGCCAAGCTTCGGACAGTGCCCAAGCGTGAAACTTAGCATGGTAATAACAGCTGACCACGTACTGAGTTCGCAGTACCTCAGTACCCACAAGCTTGATACCTCCAATCCACTAGATATATAACATAAAGGCGCAATATCTATCTACCAGATAGTACTTAGCTCGAAGCCGGATGACTCTATTTGTCGCCGCCTTTGCAGTGCAAGTCTCTCTCATTCGTTCGGTCATTCTCGAAGAGCTCTCTCATATCCGAAATGATGGTCGGAGTCATAATCATTAACTCACCATTTTGGTAACGTGGCCAAACATTTTCGCTCTAAGGCTAACTTGAGGTATAGTGCTTTCCATGCGAATGAAGCACTATATTTTTGCCTTGAGACCTCGGCACGCCTATCTCAAAATAATTACCGTACTAAGAAGGTGATTCACAGGGTGGACCGCTGGCGCTAAACGACTTTTCGGCTAGAAGCGGTTTGCAAGCACGAGCACATCATCAGATGCCATACTGGTTGTCGGCAAACTTACGCATTCGAGCTTTCTCTGTTTCTAGTAGGTAGGGAGATCAGGGTGGGATGTCGGAAGAGTGAAATGTTGAATGCGTGGCTGAGTTCCGTTGTTGATGTTCAGAACGCCATCAAGCTCCGTCGGACGTCCCGCATAAGGTGACGCATTTGGCAAAGATGATGTATCTCCTTCGAGCTGTCTTGGAACGGCTAGTATTTCGATGAAATTTCTAGCCACGAGCGCCTTAGGACTCGCCATTTTCCTGCGACGGTGCTATGTAGCTGGAGGCTCCTGATATGGCTCGGCAGACGCCCTAGCAAACGAGAAAGAAGCCATCATGGAGTAATGGCTGGACGTCGAAGAACGAAACACAAAAGATTCCAAAGCACGTGGGACCCCAGAAAAAACCCTGTGGATAGTAGCTATGTTAGTGACAGGAATATACATGATACAGAGCCTCCTCTTGCCCACTTGCAGTGCGTCTTGGTGAATTTTTCTTTCACCGCTTCGATGTGACAGCATAATCGCACTTCAACAATGAATTGGGAACAAGGCTATTGTGGAGGCCGAGTGAGACCGGCCTAATATTGTAGTATGACCGGGTTAAAAAGCATGAAGAAGCATGCGGCGACAAAAAGACCAACGTTCTACAAGGAAAGAACTGCTTGAAAAGAGCAAGAGAATGTGGAGAGAGGGAGTAGGAGATGAGGCGATAGTATACCCGGAATTGCTTTGAGCGGATTATAGATCGTGACTTAAATAACATTATGGGATATACCTGGGACATGAGGAGCCGCTGATGATGTCTCTGGGCCAAACTGGAATATGATGTTATTTTGGTTGAAGATTGTCATGGCAAAGACGTGTAGGCCTTCGCAGGGTGATGGCGAAGATGGCGTAAGGTTCCTCAGGCAGTATTGTTGGTAGTTCAATACATAATCGCTGCCTTGAGCGTACAACGATTGCCCAACAAGATTGTAGAAGAGAGCGTTCAGCCCAGTGAAGGAGCAGCTTGGGACTATTCACCAGTAATGCTTGATAGGAATGCTATTGCTATGGATCCTGAGGTGTGATGAAGAGCAATTCTCCTCCAGTGATTATCCTCCTGCTCTCACACAGCCCAGATTGCCACAGCTACTCGAGCTGATATGCATCGTAAACGAGCATATCTTCAGTCATCATCGCTCTCGCGACCATGACGACCTGATTGAGCCACGAGTAAGCGGGATAATCCGTCTTTGCGGTGACCTGCAGGCAAAGCTCGTACGAGGTAGGCTTGTCTTCACTTGTTGCCAGACGTCCCCAGATATCTCTCCTTTGTGACTCTGTGCCCGTGGTCCCCAGATATATGATGGCTTTGTCATGAGTCTGCACGTGGTATTTGATCTTCGGGTAAGGTATTGGCTGATTCTGGTGGTCACGGGCAATCTCCCAATCTTCGTATACACTAGACTGGATGCTCGATCGCATTGGTGCCAATGGTGAAAATACCCCCACCACCAGCCAGGGTCTCTCCTTGAGGCCCTTCGAATCGACCCCCTCTGAACAGCACCGTCGATTTCTCGATTTTGGAATTCGGCTCTGTGTGCTGAAAGGTATCCATGTCGCACTCCACATGAAGCAGGAAGTGTAAAGAGGGCGGCGGCATCACGTTCCCGGGGCGTTTCCACGCCGTCTCGAGTTGATCGTAGTCAGGAGCTCTGTCAACAGAACTTGTCGCCATTTGTTGCTATTCGTCGGTCCAATGATAGCCAATGTCTATCTCGCTAGAGAGAAGTGGCACCGCTTGGAGGGTCATCTGTTCGCAGGAAGCCACGAGGCAGTCATCCGGCAGTCATCCGGCCGCCATCCTTCCCCATGACTTCTAAGATCATCTTGAATAATGCGCAGGAAAAACCGAGGGTTGGAGATCCTCCAAACTAGATTTTGCAATTCGAGAAGCACATTGGCCTTGAGCCCCTTTGTCGCAATATTCATTCAGGTCGATCGACGTTGAATTTGCGGAGGATTAATTTGGCCCTCCGGTCCCCGCATTTGGCTGATGGTGTCGATTGCTAGGTACTCAACTCTCCCATAGAGATCAGTCAACAGTACATCATTCCTCAGCCGACTGATTTCTTGCGAAATCCAAGAATTAGCTACGTTGCGCATTACCTGGACATGAAGTCGAGGTTATCAAGCCTGATGTCCACTTCAAGGTGTCGCTAATCCGTGGACTCATGCCGCTACCACTTCCAGGATCACCAGCGGCGTCTTGGGGAATGTTCCAGGAACGAACACGACAAGTATTCCGAGGCGCTCCGGTCAGAATCTGTATCGCCTTCTGGCTCTTTGGTGAGTACTGAATCGGGCAGACCCGGGAATGCACTCGCTTAGATGAGATCCACAACTGACGGCAGCCAACAGGTCTGATCAATAACGTTCTCTATGTGATCATTCTCTCCGCCGCCCTTGATCTCGTTGGACCCAATGTTCCGAAAGGCGTTGTCTTGCTCGCAGATGTCATTCCTTCCTTCCTGACCAAGCTTTGTGCGCCATACTTCATCCACGCAATTCCGTACCACGTCCGAATCATCGTCTTCGTCTCCCTCTCGGCATGTGGCATGCTCCTTATCGCCCTGACGCCTAGCTATCTCGATGGCGGAAGTATCAGCACCAAGATGGCAGGGGTGATACTTGCTTCCCTTAGCAGCGGAGGAGGTGAATTGAGCTTCCTGGGTTTGACCCATTTCTATGGGCCACTCAGTCTTGCAGCATGGGGAAGTGGCACTGGTGGTGCAGGCTTGATAGGGGCAGGAGCGTATGCTTTGGCTACGACAACGCTGGGCATCAGTGTGAAAGCAACTCTTCTGGCATCTGCATGTCTGCCGGCGGTGATGATGATGAGTTTCTTCATCATTCTCCCTCGAGAACCTCTCAGGAAGGGTCCTATGACAAGAAAAGATTCATTGCCGATTGAGTCATCATTACCTGATGCAGAAGCTGAAGAAGACGATTTAAATATCGAAACCCGTGAGGACGAGGGTCTGCTGGGGGCGCCATCAGATCCCTCCAAGATTGTGCGTCCAAAACCAGTGAAAGCAGCATCTGGTTCAGCCTGGGATCTCTTCAAAGCCAACTTGAAACGATCCAGCAGTCTATTCTTCCCTTTGTTAGTAAAACATGTCTGCTACCCGTCTCGACATCGCTGACCTATCCAACAGTATGCTTCCACTCCTGCTTGTATACATTGCCGAGTACACCATAAACCAAGGCGTGGCACCAACACTACTCTACCCATTACGCCAGACGCCCTTCAAGCATTATAGAGCTTTTTATCCGATGTATAATTTCATCTATCAGATGGGCGTATTCATTTCGCGGTCGTCCATAGCGCTCTTCCGCATACACGATTTGTACCTACCCTCCTTTTTACAGGTCATCAATCTTGTTGTACTTTCTGCGCATGCGCTTTTTGACTTTATACCCAACGTGTATGTCATCTTTGTCATCATGTTTTGGGAGGGATTACTGGGAGGCTTGGTTTACGTGAATACCTTCGCCGAGATATCGGATCGTGTCCCGGAAGCCGATAGGGAGTTTTCTCTAGGAGCAACCACTGTCAGTGATTCTGGAGGCATATGCATTGCGGGCTTCATTGGTATGGCGTTTGAGGTATGGTTGTGTGACTGGCAAGTAAGCCATGGCAGGAACTACTGTACAAAGATCTGATAGTTATTTTGAGGATTGTCATTGGTTCTGTTTATCATCTACGAATAGAATTGTTCAATGCCCACAATCTCAGCTATCAACCCTGGTATTTGCCTCTTTGTAGTGACAACGCTACAAGGGTAGTCCGCAGAAGAAAGGTTAAATTAGTGCTCTTATTGGGCGAATATGCTTCGGGACCATGCAGCGACTAAGAATCACTTTGCATGCTCGAATGGATATCCACTTGGTTAGGAAGAGGGGACGAATGGCTGTCCAAAACCAGCCCAGCCCACAATTTTCCCAAAGCTGTTCATTGTGATGTCCGTCCACTACCTATCCAGATCAGACCTCAAATGCCTTGCCAAAGAGAACCGTGGATCGCAGGGTGTTGTCATCAGGAACTTCAATTCGCTGTTCCTGAAAACTGCCACCCATGATGGCATACTAAATCAGAAAACCTCCGTTGGTCCTCTGGGAGCTGCAAGCGACAGCTATTCACAGGCCATAGGTGACATTCGAACCTGCGAAACGCAGCACAACCGTGACGTCCTGAAGACAACAGCAGAAAACTCTGCGGCTGCCCCCATCCTGCCATCGGGCCATCCATTTTGTTGCAATGGTCCATTCAGCATGGAATTTGGACTACATGCCAGACACAGGTAACAATCCTTTCTCCTTCTTCCTGCATGTCTCTTCCAATCATGACCTGCGGCATGAGTCGACTTCCACCGCCACACTTCCGCCTGTGCTGTGTCTCAGAAAGCGGTGCATTCTGCCGCGCCTATACTGTGGCTTGTTGACCATGGGTGCTTTGAGGTCTGAGATCATCATGGCATTTTGAAGGATAAGGGGATGTGATCTGCGGCTTGGGGGACATGGGGGCCAGCCCCGGGAGGCCAAGGCGCTTTTACCGAGGGCGCTTGTACCGAAGGCGTCAAGCTCCACCTCGTGGAAATAGCAGCCCAGGTCGCAAAGCTGAGCTGCCAGTGCTGCATTTCTAGTCAGAACATGTCATGCCATCTTGTCGCATCCCATCCCATCCCATTCCACCCCATCCCCTCCCCTCCCCATCTCTGGCTATTTACCCTTTCTCTTCTCACGGACTGAGATTGCGAGCTTCGTCTGAGTCATGACTAATACCCATCCCAAGCGGCAGACCATCTAGGTCGCTCATTCTACCACTTTGTCTCGGGTCAGGGTCACACCAACCCCAGCTACTCATACCCGACCCCTGCACCTCCTCACAATCACATGGCGCAACCTATAAGTCAGTCGCCCAGACGAGCTGTTGGTGATAGGAGCCCTCCGGGACAACAGAGTGGTACGCGCTTCGTCCGTAAAGTATTTGCCATACTGAGAGACAGCAGGTTTCTTCACAAGTCCTCATGCTCAGTCTGCCGTCGCGCAGACAAACGGCCAGCGGCAGATGCTTCCTCCTTCTCCGCACCCATATTATTCTCGCTTCTCGCAACAACCCTCCATCCCGAATGGAAATTCTCCAAATGTTAGCCGAGAGCATCAAGCACCGGCACCTCCTCCTCCTCCTCCTCCTCCTCCACCACCACAACACCGACCAAGCAGCAGCATGTCGATATCGTCTATGTTGGGCTCTGAATCCGAACGGCCATCTCGTGATCTCAACTTGGGAGCAAGCTCTACGACATCTTCCTCCTACCGTCCTAAGCCTCCAAATCCGCCCCCCTCGGAAATGTCACCGCCGCAACACTCTGCCAAACCTAGCCCTGGAGATTATTCCTACAAACCGCGATCGCAGACGCCGGACAGGATGGGTATCTCAAATCTCATCGGTACGCGACCGTACAGGTCCGGATCCGGAAGCATAATGCAAGGTTCCAGGCCCTTTGAAGACCCTGCTAGGATGTCATCGCGAGCAGCCTTTCCACGATTTGGAGAATCCACTCAACAGGCCCCAAGCCAAGAGCCGACCAGACGTACAGAGGACTCCTTCAGCCATACGCGAAGAACAAGTATATCTGGCATATTACAAAGACCAAGTAGTCAACCACAGCCACAAGTTCAAGGCACTTTCACTGGGCCGAGGTTACAGCCAGCCAATCCTCCGCAACCAGGTCGTCCTGCATGGCCCGAGCATTCCAACGCTCAAGCTTCAACAAGCTTCAACAGCTCTTCCCCGCCTTCATTGGGTGTCAATCGAGCCGCAGATGAGAAGAAGGAGGCACAAAACGGACAGCAGGCACCATCGTCAAACGCTGCATCGCAATACGACATCCGACCACCAACATTTAATTCGTCCATGCAGCAGCAGTCTCTTGCTCTCAAAGGTGGGGACCAGCAACCTTCTGCGCCTGCTTGGGAAGCACCACCCTCGAATTCGACGTCTCCTGAGGTACGTCGGCCCTCGGCAGGCCCAAATCAGTACAGGCCTCCTGGAGGCTCATTGAATGGACTGGTACCTGCTCCCCCGTCTCAATCGTCAGAAAGTCAGCGGCCTGCTTCAGTTTCCATGAGTCAACAGGATTCTTCTCAGTCCCACGGAGAGCGTTCAATCTTTGGTGACAGACTGGAAAAGGGCAGGACTCGACTATTTTCACCGTTTGCTGGTTCACATACCTCCCAGAGTGGACCATCTGCGTCAGGCCACCCAGATGAGCAGAGTCGCAAGGGAAGCGACGAATTATCTCAGCACAGAGCTTTGCTTGGCCTGGCAGCTGAGAGTAAAAAAGGAGGTCGCTATTCACCATTACCACAAGCAGTGCAGGGCGCGCAGGCTCAGTCCATCGGGCCCGAGATAGGCATCAAGTCGGAGCATGGACGAATCTTCTCTGGTCTGGGAGGAGGGGTTGGGGCTGCGAGTGCAAGTCCAGCTCATGGACCTCCTGGCTTGGCAGCGAGTCCGTTCAAAAGGGATGACAATGGTGCACGCCTGCTCAATGAGGACAATCTGATGAAGATATCTCGAAGTAGTTCAGGCCTCGGCAAGCGAGCGAGAAAGGTCAAGGAGGAAGAGGGGAAGGCAGCCAGCGAGAATGATGGGCCTAGCAGGATGGGGAAGAAGCCGCGCAACCATCAGTAAGGTGTCCGCCCTGGGACTTGCTCACCAGCATACTGACCGAATTGTCTAGTCACCACTACAGGCTCGATAACGGCGACCTAGCTTCTCCATTCGATCTTCATCGTCGTCACACCCCACTGTCGTCGCTCAACCCAATCCGCCGTCCCTCAACTCCCAAAAGCAACGGCAA